TCTGAGCAATATTTTTATAATTTTATGGTAACTATTTTTAAGTATTTGTAATGAAGAAAAGAGCCAGAGCGGTTTCAGAGATATTGGGGAATAACTGATTTTTTTGTTAAATTTCAACATCCTGTATCTCAGAAACGAAGCTGTTACGGACTTATGTTCACATGAAGAATTTTTCTTAAAATCACCCAAGGATTATCACCCTTAAGGATCAGCATTCAATTATGAAACACCCTGTATAATAATGCTAGAAAATGACACATAAGACAGAAAAGCTACATAGATCATTCATTTAGTCCTGTATAAATAACCTCATTCTCAACAATACAAAAATCGTGCAGAAAAGTAATTTTTCCGCACGATTTTATTTTTTTATCGTGCGTAGAAGGAAAAATCGTGCAGAATAGTAAAATCGTATGGGAAAGTACAACTTTACTTTTTAGTTTTCAGGAACTATTTCCTTATTAGTTTGATAGGAACTGATAGGAACCTATACCCTTTGATTTTTCCACAGCATCAATGAAACGCCCTGTATAATATCATCAAAATATTGACAAAAACTCAAGCTTGATTTGTATGTAGCGGAGTACGTATAGGTAGTAGAGGTAGTGACCATTTTGGTTCAAAGTCTGATTAGTTATTTCATTAATTGAATTATATTTGTTTGTGAATATCAATGACCGCAAGTGGGTCAGTGTTAACAGGGGGCAAAAGCAATTGCCTACCTACCAATTGATTGTCCTGAATTTAATTTTCGATAACTTTATAGTATCGATCAGGACCGTCTTTCACCTATTATAGAGGCCCTGGGCACATTAGAATAATGGGGCCCCTATGGTCATAATAAAGTACTATTTTGTTAGAATAGACAAATAACGTAGCAATGCAAAGTTTTAGCATTAATTTTATTTTTCTGCAACCGACACAAAAGTCGTCCATTTTGATACCAAAATTAGCTCTTGAATTGACGTTTTTATTACTGACACAAAAATAGGTATGTTGCTAAGCAACATATTTAGTTCCTAGGAGCTAAAGTTGAATTTTAGTTCCTAGGAGCTAAAGTTGAACTCTAGCTCCTAGGAACTAAAAAGGATAGACGTCATCAAGAATAAACAACATTGTGATGGTTGGTTATTTGGGTTGAGACGAATACCTGATTTGTTTCCGATTTCAGCAGATTTGGCATTTCATACCCATGCTGGAGATTTAAATACACCTTATTATAGTTTAGTATGTGAATTATAAACATGTCAGTTAAGTATTTTCGTTTTGATCAGGGAAGCCTTCAAGATTCAAATACTTGCTTGATCTGTATTTCATTCGTTATTCTCGGGATGGATAACTTGTTTTCGAATAATCACGGCAAGCAATAGTTTTTTTGTCTCAAACAACGATATTGTTACGCTTCATTTGATTATCAAGTAAAACACAGTGTAGTATGGAGAGGAATAAATAATCACTATTATCATTGTTGATATGCTCACTAACCCACTAACCTAACATTTTCCACGTCTTGTTCTTATACCTGGCACTGGCACGGTATTTGCCATTAGAGCACCTGGTCCATACACAAATATGTCACTCTGTGGTTGTATTTATATTGAAACTACAATTCGAACATTCTAGAAAACCTAATCTGCTATCAATGCAGGTAGAATATTCTCATCACATGGATTATTTGTCAATATTTGTTGCATTGCATACGATTGCATACATATGGCACGGCATTGGTGGTTACTTCAAATGTTTATTTGAGTTGCAGAAAAAATAGCATGTTTCATTCGAATCAAAAGCAAATTTTGCTTTCGCTCGGCTTCGCTAAACGCTCCGCCTCGCAAATGCAAAATTCGCTTGTCAAACAAAATGTCACTTTTGATCCTAATAAAACAATCTACTATTCTTTACGGTTACATTAGATATGATGAATAGACTATATCATGTAATCCACACTTAGTAACCAGCATGAAAATATGGCAAAACTTCCTATTAATAAGGGTCTGAAGGGCTGAGAATGCTATCTAAGGGAGCTACGCCCCTTTAAATAGGACATCTCGAAAACGATATTTTGTCTATAACTTTAAAATCCTTCACAATGAATTTTCATAAATTGGTGTACGGTATAAACATTTGATGGTGAATAAGAATCTGAATTCGAAATTCCAAAATTTTTCCAGGCTCGTCACATGCGGGAAAGGGTAAGTGAAAAAACATCCCTTCTTCTTTTGATATTCAAGTTTTTGTGATTTACGCAAATCAGAAAGTTATCAAAGTCGATTTTCTCCTAAATGGTCTATTGGAATGAACTAGAAGAACCTTTTTCACGAGAAAAACTCTAGAATTTCATAATTTCCAAAAGACATTATAAGTAGGTACCTGAATATCGAAAGAAGAAGAGATATTTTTACACTTACCCCTTACCCTTCCCCACATGTGAGGCCCCTGAATGAAATTTCGCAATTTTGAATTTAGAGTCTTATTTAAAATCAGATGTTTATGCCGTACACCAATTTTCGAAGATTTATTGTGAAGGATTTTGAAGTTATAGAGAAAAAATCGTCTTTGAGGTGTCCTATTCAAATTAAGGGGCGTAGCTCCGTTGAGAAACATTTTCGGACCTCTATCAATAGGAACTTTTTGCCCAATTTTCATGCAAGGAATACGATCCTGAAAGGATGCCGCTCACATTTGAATCACGCTGTATAATATATCTGGAAATAAACTGGATCGTATTGATGAGTTCAAAATATGTACTTATTTTGAAATCACCTCGTCAGTTATCCTGCTGCATAATCTTATTACTCACCTTCAGTTGCACTTGTCTTCAGTCTTGTTAGTCATTAGATCATGATCAATAACTTGAACGAACCTCGCTGCATGGAATTTGTTTTCTTGTACATGAATTGAGAAAAAAACTCCATTGACAATGATTACTAGGTTTAACTCACGTTTACGGAAGAAAATACAATTATGGTGATGTAAGGTATATTATTGTTCATGAAATAACTCAAGAAAGAGCAATTTATCTTCTACAGGGTGTTTCAAAATTCGACCGACAGTATTTAGTTCTCTAGATTCAGGGTATTGATGTTGAGGAATAAATTTTTTTTTCTACGCGATATAACATAAAAGGAACTTTAGTCCACAGTCGTGGACAAATAATTAATGATTGGACAAAGAATTGTATTCTACTCGCATATAATGAGCTTTTATTATATGCTTGTTGAATAATATATACTATTTTTCGCAATAATTCGAGGATGATTGAATATTTTTCATTCAAATTCGGTACATACATGGTTTCATCTATACAGGGTGATTCAAAAAAACCTAACCCCCTTGCTAGGGTATGTAGAACATTGCAAAATAAGTTGGGTTTGCTCAGTAAAAAAATGTCGTGACGCCATCCGTTTTCAAGATACAAGGTGTTGAAACAATATTTTTTTTACACATTTTTTACGATAATGTTGAAACTACTGGCAACATTGTGGTGAAATTTTGTATGGATATTTCTTGGGATCTGACACATCGCATGCATTTGTTTTTATATCTGACTCTCATAGAGGGCGCTAGCTACACGGTTCGTACCGAATAGTTTTGAACATAACTTTTTTGAGGTTAGATTTTTCGATCCAAATTTGATGTGAACTTGAACATTATTCAATTTCACACCAGAAAGGTACTCTTGGTAAAACCCGATACTGTGTTCCGTTTTCGGAATATTTCGATTTGAAAATGATGAAGTGGTAACTGTTGCTGGTATAAAGCTATGTATTAGAGTGAGTATTATGAAAAATATCACCTATTCATTGAAAACTGAAAACAACAATACATTTCTGATACAAAACTCATTGATTTAACAATGAATCAGAAGAATAACATCGAAACTGATTTGACTAAGAACATGGATTACACAGTTTTGTTGTATCTTGAGCAGAAAGTCTATGCTGCATAGGTAAATTCACGTCAAGAGTTGTGAGACATAATCGAACATCACTTAAATGACCTAACAGCTGATCCTCAACTTTTCAGAAGAATAATACATTCTTAAAAAGAGAATATAGAATCGTGTATTCCTCGAAACGTAGGACATTTTGAACACTCTAATTCAATATTTCATGTTTCTAGTCAAATATCTCTTAATTTTCTACTTATGATTCTTTGTTCCATCAATAACTTCAGCATAATAATAATTTTATTGTTTTTGAACCTGAATAAATAGGTAATTGAACTCAATAAAATTCATTTCATACCAGCATCATTACTACTTACTACATTATTTTCAAATCGAAATATTACGAATACGGAATATAGTATCGAGTTTCACCAGGAGTACCTTTTTGGTGTAAAATTGAATGATGTTCAAGTTCATATTATATTTGGATTGAAAAATCTAACCTCAAAAAGGTTATGTTCAAAACTACTCGGTACGAACCGTGTAACTAGCGCCCTCTATGAGAGTCAGATATAAAAACAAATTCATGCAATGTGTCAGATTTCAAGAAACATCCATACAAAATTTCATTGCAATGTTTCCAGTAGTTTCTAAATAATAGTGAAAAATGTGTAAAACAATAATTTTTTCAACACCTTATGTCATGAAAACGGATGCCGTTACGACATTTTTTCACTGAGCAAACCCAACTTATTTTGTAATGTTCTACCTACCCTAGCAAGGGGGTTAGGTTTTTTTGAAAGACCCTGTATATGGGTAATTTTTTTACCAGAAAGTAATTTCGGATATTCTCTCTGTGGTGCGCTACAGGCATATGTGGTTACTTTTCCTTTCATATTTTCTACGCCAATTAACTCTTTAATTTTATTCAAAACATGTATCATCTTCAACTAAATGTAAAAATTCCACAAATGATTAGATTTCCACAAAATTCTTACAGTAGCTGTAGTGACGTACTCTTTTTTTTTCGATTTTCAAGATGAAATATTGATATATTCAATTCAAAGTCACCTTGTATGTGTTTCAGATCGGTACTGAGCATTTCTGAACCATGGTATTTGGAGAAGATAACGTCAGCAACGGACAAACTGAAGATAGTTTATTAAGTTCGAAAGCCAGCAGCCAGTATGTGATTTCTAAAATTTCCAAGAGCACTAAATATAAAGAGAAGAAAAAGCATAGAAGATGTGGTATGTTATTAATTTTGTTCATCTTTTACCTAGGGAAGAGAGGAAGAGAAGGATTGTTTTAACTATTGCAGGTTATAAGTTCCCAGACAGCACAAAGTGATTGTGAGAATGTTCTTAGAATATTCCTGATGTGGAACAGTTCGAATATTCTCGAAATGGTACGAAAATTCACGTTCCAAAAACGTGCTCATAATATTTTTCAGAACGTTCTCAAAATACCTTCAGGAAATTCTCAGTACCGTCAGAATATTCTGAGAACGTCTTCATACCCAGCGAGCACAAACATCCCTGGGATGTTTTGGGATGTTTTGAAAATGTTGGCATGAAGATGTTATTTTGAGACGTAATATGCACTGACCAAAGAGGTCTTTGAAGGATATTGAAGTATTGTTTTTGTTCTTCTGTGGCATTTCTTTGTTTGCCTACTGAGAGGTATCCCTGGGATGTTTTGGGATGTTTTAGAAATGTAGGCATAAGGATGTTTTTTTGAGGCTTAATATGCACTTCCCAAAGAGGTCTTAGAAGGATATTGAAAGTATTGTTTTTGTTCTTTTGTGCCCTTTCTTTGTTTGACTCACCACAACGTCTTCATGCTTACGTCACAATAATATGAATTCTGATTTGTTTTCGATTTTGTTCTTCTTGTTCGCAATTGGCATTCGCGTTTGCAGCGTGTTATACGCTTACATCACGCTGCTAACGAACAGAAAGGAATTTGGTGAAGTTTATTGTGTTAGAAGACTTATTTAGTTTGTAATGATGACCATCAGATGCAAGATGTGTTGTTCGGTGCCTCAGTGTAATCAATATATCAAAGTACGAATTTATCAATACACAGCTTCTCCGCAGTTGCAAAATTATGCATTGTGGAGAACATTTTTTCAAAAATTGGGAAACCTATTTCCAATTATATGTCTGTGTGTAGTAAGCACTACTCAGAAACCGATTGAGAAGGTAATTTCATATCAAGAAAATATTTTTATGTTCAATCTATTTTTAATGCATTTTTTTATTCAAGGGAAATGGAATCCTAATGCAAAAGGTCATTTTGACAAAAGGCTTCAGAAAAGTACCTCGAAAATGGTTTTTTTACAGCGATTTAATGTGCGCAAGTCGCGTTGAAAATGTTCTGTTGTGTCCATGAAAAGGCTTTAAAAAGAACTAGGGAGGAGGTAGTTTTGTGACAAGGACATCTCGATACCTAATTGCGATAATAGTTCTATTCATGTGTGAACAGAACATCGCAGTGGAGGTTCAATGTCTCGAAATCTCGTACGTTAGAACTTATAATTATGCCTATTAGAAACGAAAATGTTTCTCTTTCTCAGAATATCCTAATAATATACCTCTATATCGAGAATCAGTGAGGAGAAATCGATGAAAATATGCATGCTCATATTTAGAATACGTTCTCTTCATTTAAAATAATATCAGCAATGCAATAATGTCACTTCAATCAAAAAATAGCAACAACTTTGTTATTTCAAATAGAATACCCTGTATTTTATTGCATTTTCAGATTTTTCCTGAAGATCTGATTCTATCGATACATCATACTTGGGATCTATCTGAAATGAGATATAGGGATGGTCAAAATCGAGATTTTTCAACTTGAGGATTTGTTCGTGTCGAAACTATTCATTATCGGCGAAAACGGCTCACATGTTCCTATCACAACTTTGGATTAAGTATTTACTGATATTTGATCGGAACAGATACATGGTGATCAGAATTCTGAATCTTGAACTACCCTGTATCTGTTCCGATTAAATATCAGTAAATAGTGAATCAAAAGTTGAGATGTGGCTCATTTGACCGATAACAATTTTAGAACAACAACAATCCTCATCATATTCTATGAATATTATTCGGATAATTCTGAAGGAGGTATATGTTGGTGAGCGTTGTAAGAATATTCATAGAATATTCTCTGCTGCCTGGGAGCTACAACATCCAATGAAATCAAATCATCTATTATATGTCATATTCCACATAATTTTGTGAAAATCTTATCGTTCAAGTCAATTCAACACATGCCAAAATGTTACGAAGTATCCAAATTGCAATTATTCATTCCTAAAACTATAAACAAATAAAACGGTATTATTCTAATGTTCAATTGTCTTGGTAATAACAGACCTGTTATAGATCGCATAGAATCATAGATATAGGTATCCTACAATCTAGTAAATATAATTTCCATAATTATTTCTTTGATATTTTATCATTAAAAGCTAATTGACTTAACATGGATTGATGAAACTAGACCCTAAACTCGTTTTTTACGGTTTGAGCATTATGTCTAATGCACATTTACTTATTTCAGTTTCTTGCAAAATCAATAATTATTGTAATACTTTCAAGGTTCCCCAGAAAGTAAGTCGTTCTAAAACAAAGCAAGAAATTAAAAATGAATTATTACCCATTTCATTATACATGTCTTTATCATAACGATGAACACATTTGGATGAAGGATACCCAAAATTTTTGATTATATTATTAATATACATTATTCATTTGGCAATTCGAATAATTAATATACAATATAATTTTAATATTATTTTATAATCCAACAATGAAATGAAATGATTGTTTCGATATTTCATGCATGGAACATGGAATGTATTATAATAGAGAATGGTAGTATAGTAGAATAGTAAAATGAATCTATTGGACTAGCCATAACTTCGAAAATATTGGGAAATGGCTCCGGTTTTGAATTTTTAAATGGAACACCCTGTATATTACTAAATTTTTGAATTTCTCAGACAATTTTGGATCCAAACTTGACATTTTCCGAAGTTTTTACGCCTACTTCATTTTTTAGAATATTTTTCGATATTGCATCTGTAAAGAGAGTTTGAATCGCAAAGTTTCAGTGTCTGGTATGATAGATAGAAAGAAGACAAGTTGACAATATTACATTTCCGTGTCTAACTATTATTTCTCAACTGACGAATTAAACGATACTGATTTATTTGTAATTGAATTGAAAATAAGAACATAAATTCTTAAAATATTACATAGGAAAAAACTGGACATTTATTCAATGACGTGTCAAGCGTGCCATGGATAGCCATGATGCCTAATTCTGCAGTTATTTTTGTCGAGTCTTCTTTGGAAAACAAATACTCCTGTAATGACAGTCACACATAAGCCTCATGAGCGACAGTGAAAGTCTCTTCATTTTCGTTGAATTTCAGTTCAATTTTTAATCAAAATAATGTAAAATAGAAGTGAAAACTGGATGCCTGAGTGTTTTGTTTTCCAAAGAAGACTCGAAAAAGATAACTGCAAAATATTATGTATGGCACAATTGACAAATGTGGATGAATGCATATCTAGTATTTTCCTGAGTAATATTGAATCTAGGTTCTCATTTTGGATCCAATCGCAAATAAATTAGTATCGTTAGATTCGTCCAAAAATCCTCTTTTTGGAGAGTGTCTGTCAAAAAATGGTTGCCATTTGAAAAATAATAGTTAAACACGGAAATCTAATTTTGTCAACTTGTCTTCTTTCTATCTATCATACTAGTCACTGAAACTTTGCGATCATAATTTTCTGATATCACCTGAGGTATTTAGATAAGTTTACGCCAGATCATGCGGCCACCTAGATGCAATGTTGAAAGTAACTTTGAAAGAATGAAGTAGGTGTAAAAACTTCTGAAAATGTCATATTCTGATACATAATGTTTTCCTCTTTGCATATAATATACCCATAATGAATTTCATCTTGGTACACCGAATGTTTTAGAAGTTATTGCTTGTCTATAACAGATTCGTTAACACCCGGTATAGGTAAGTACATGAAAGTATCAATAAGTTATAGGTATTTTCTGTCACCTTCACTTCCACTCTGCATCTAATAAATTCATCCTGATATGATGAAATCATTATGGAATTTCCTTCCTGAAATCATATGGCTATTTATTCTAACTCCTAGACTAGACACTGAAAGCTTATCAGTCATAATGAATGTGAAATTACTGAAGAAGGAATCAACTTCGATATCTTCTTATTTGTTTTCGAAAGAGTATAATACAATAATTACAAGTATATACCTTCTTGGCAATTATTCAACTGAAAACTGAAAAAAAATATATGTCTGAGAAATCCTTTGTTAACAACTACTGCCATGCAGTCAATATTGATTAGTATAATATTCATATCATATCAAATTAATCACGTTATTTGAATAAATTTCAGTAAATTCGTGTCAAAGCTATACCTAGCTGTGAATGAAAGTCAATGACAAATCCAAAACTATCTAAGTGTAATTATTGATCAAATTTTTCGCAATTAACTATACAAGATTATGTGGTAATTACTAGTAAATGATAAAGTCTTGGGAAACTATTTTTATTACTTCCAAAATAGCAACTCATCATCATAATTGAATGATCAAGAACTACATATAAAAATTTGACCTTCCAACAGGTCTATCATAATAACAATTACAACCTCTTAACTTTTCCTAAACAACTATTTTGTGTATTCTTTATGATAACTTTTTTCAGGACGAAATTTCTTATTGGTATTCGGTATACTCTTCGTGATACTGGGTATATTAGCTACTGTTTTCACTCCATACGACATGCTTATGAAGCTGAGGATAAGAATGCAGCCAGGTAAAAACTCATCTAAACTTGACGTCTTTTTCTTCCAAATATCATTTCTTATGTCTACCATAAGTTGATTTTTCACTTTTAATTTTCAGGATTTCCCCCATTTGAATGGTGGCTTAATCCCCCAGACGAAGTGATACTCAGTATCTATGTTTTCAATGTCACCAATTCTGAGGAATTTATGAATGGTACAGATGACAGAATGAAGGTTCAAGAAATCGGACCCATATCATACATGTAATAATCAATAATAGTTATTTATTATACGAGGGAAAAAAGTATTAGATTTTTGCTCGAGATGGTGTTGTCTTCCGACGCGAATCAGAAGGATACAAAAAATCGTTAGCTGAATTCAAATATTTTTTCCCGCCTATAATACACAATGTTTTTTTCTGTGACAGAAGAAACGACGATCTAATTTTGAAACGATATCAGAATATATTGAAATCAGAAAATTATCGATGTGAAATTTGAAGTTATTGATTATATGAGACCTTACGGAGATTCTCGCCTTTGGAAGCAAATTACAGATGACTGCCTCTCACTCAATATGAAAGAGGATAGTATAATACCGATCATTCGATTCAAGAAAATGCCCCAAATTTGAAATTCCTATTGGGATAGACTGGAAACAGAATGGGTACTGCATTATACCCACCAAGGGCATCATCTGGTACACAGATGGTTCCAAGATGGAAGACTGCGCAGGTGCTGGGGTTTATGGGCAGTCCCCAAGGGTGGATCATCACTATACTTTTGGAAAATATGCTACGATTTTTCAGGCTGAAATATTGGCAATACTCGACTCGCCTGTGTGCAAATCACCATATGCACTGACAGCCAGGCAGAGATCAAGGCACTCACCTCGTATAGATTGACCTCCTTCTTGGTGTAAGAGTGCATTGATAGCCTACAAAGGCTGTCGGCAATGAACAAAGTATGTCTTCTGTGGCCTGGGCACTCAAAGGTATCTAGTAACGAAATGGCCGATGGTCTGGCCAGAACTGAGTCGAAGGGCACAATGATTGGTTCAGAGCCATTCTTGGGATCACTCAATCCAGAGCAACTTCAGTATCAAGGAAATCCTGATGGAAACATTTCAGAACAGCTATAGAGAGAGGCTCCTGGAATGAGGCAATTCAAACTCCATGTAGGAAATCTGTCACGATGACAGACAATGCCCTCTTTCTAGGCTTTGAACAGGAAGGAGTTGAAACTGGTGGTGGCCCTTTTGACAGGGCACTAACACTTGAACAAGCATCTCACCTCGGTCGGGATTGTGGTGGGTCCTGGATGCAGATGGAGCTTAGAGGATGAAGAGACTTCTACTCATGTCCTCACTTAATGACTGGCAGTAGTGGTAGAAAGAGATATCCATTTTGAGGGCAGTATCCTGAACCCTGATGGGATGTTAAAAAGATTAAGCCAAGGGTGTTGGTATCTTTTGCTTTCGAGATCAGCCTTTTTCATGGCTGACTTGCGATCCCCGAAAGTGCGTCAGATCCCAGACTGTCCACACCTAGGAGTAATCCTGTGATCTGATTCCAAAAAATTGCGAACTCAGTGGTTGTTTAGTAATTCACGAAACCGCGAACTTGAATGGAAGATGAAAAGGATTTGCAGTTAGTTATTTATTGTACAAGGGAAAAAAGTAGTAGATTTCAGCTCCAGGTTGTGAGCTGAAATCTAATATTTTCCCGTGTATTATACTCATTTTTTTTGTGACAGGAAAAAGCATGAATCGATATTGAGAAGATATTACATTATATAAAAATTTGAAAATTATTGACGTGAAATTTGAGGTTTCTAACAGGAACGACACCTTTGTTGCAGGTATCTTTTTGCAGGTATTTTTATCATTTTTTTGAAGTAATCAAATATCTGCCAGTTCAATTTGATTGTAAAAAATTGCGAATTTAGTAGTTCTTTAGTAATTTACATAACCGCGAAGTCGAATATAGAAGATAAAAGGACTTGCAGATCTTTCTCGGAGATTGTGTTATTGGCTTATTTTACGGATGTATAGCACAACAAAAGCCATCGACAGTGTATATATATATATGCGATACATATCCGGAAAAAAATACTAACTCTTTTTCCGTCACAGAAAAAATAATAATTATATGAATCTCATACAGTACCGAGTACAAAACAGCTTGCGACCATTTTTTTGCTCACGTTGGAATAATTTTTGCTTTTCGAATTTCAGGGAAAAGCTCATCCATACTTTCCCAGTTTTTAATGAGAATGGCACCCTTACTTACACAGCCAATCGGACACCTATATATCTGCCAGAACTAAATCCCGAATATTTGTTGAATAAAACGATTGTTGTGCCAAATATGCCAGTTCTGGTAAGCAAATAGTAAATACCTACAGAGAAGTGCACAAAAACAGCCTGGACTGTAACTTTTGAATTATTCGTTCAGGGTGTTGAACATTATCGGTGGGCAACTAGTATACCAAATTGCTCATTGATTTACACGACAATTTTCATTCTATCACTTCAGGTTTCACTGAAAACGACCCCAACTTTTGATTTTTAAATGGGACACCCTATATTCCCCATAATCGGGATAAGGGATTGTCATAACGATTTCATCGATACCAGGTTTGATAGGGTCAAAAGATTACGCAGATATTCGCTTCCTAAGTTTTCATACGCTCAATGAGTCTGACAGAGAAAGAAGTTTTGATATTGCGAAATCACACCCATTGAGCATATGGAAACTTCAAACGCAAATATCTTTGGAATTGTTTGAAATAACCCTATTAAACCCGATATCGTTGAATTCGTCATGATAATCCCTAACCGATTATATAATACAATACAGGGTGTTCCCATTTGAAAATCAAAAGTTGGGGTCGTTTCCCGTGAAACTAGAAGTGATATAGAAGAAAAATTATTTCATCAATTAATAAGCAATTTGGTATACTAGCTGCTCACCAATTTTGAAAACCCTATCTAGAATAATTCGAAAGTTACAACCCTGGCCGTTTTTATGCACTTCTCTGTATACCTTTGTGCACGTTACCTACCTACTATAAGATGCTATAAGATAAATATGGTCCGTTTGTTGATGTTTTCAGAAAACCACACTCGGGTTATGCGTTCTTGTGGTTTCAAAGCTAAGGATTAAAAGTACTTTTACTTCGATACATCTGTTTTTTTACACACGAAAATGACGTCAAATCAATTAATACCAAGATTAGTACCTAGTTATATGAGGGCACTTCAAAAACGTTACACCCTCGTACCTATTGATGGCTACTTTCGATGTTATTGATGACGTAAACACAAACAGATATTAATTGAATTGTTAATGAATTTGACAAAATGGGTGACTTACCTCTGGTACTAGTCATCTACTGATGACATAATCGCAAATATCCATTGATCCAATTGCTTGTGAACAATGATGAAATGTCATGTTACTTTTTTGGACTTTCAGATGATCCCTACGTATCTTTACGACGCTCCATTTTTTGTCAAATTCAGCGTAAACGTAATGATGAGGACTCTGAATTCCAGTCCGTTCAAAACGACGAGCATCCAAAATTTCTTGTGGAATTTTTCCGATCCTATCGTGGATTTAGCGCAAAATTTGGCACCCAGATTAGTACCAACGAAAAATGTCGGCATATTATCAAGGGTAAGTAACATCATCTCGATAAACTACAGTCAATTATATGTTTATTGGTACTTTCACAAACCTCTCTTATAATATCTGATATAGATTATGTATTATCGCAACTCCGTTGGTAATGCCTCGGCTGATCTGTCCATTGAATTATCTTTACAGCTAGTCGTATTTGTATCTGAGGTTTTGGAGCGAGTGTCGGCGAGTGGTAAGCGGAGCGACGTTATATTCAGGTCCCACCAACAATGTCGCACCAACGTCATAAAAGAAACGTTATTGATACAATAATTAGTGCCTAGGATCTGAGCTTCATTCATTTGTGTGTCTATAATTCTTCCTCGTAGGTTTATGCCGACTTTGTGGATAATGTCACAGTCTACATTGGACCCACTTACGAGGAGAGAAAGTTTTTTCTCATTGACAAATATGATGGGTCGGAGTTTTTGCCAAACAGAGGGGGTAATTGCAAGGATGAGGTGAGAGGGGCTACAGAAGGTGTTCTCTATCCCCAAAAGAGTAGTAAAACCGACGTGCTGAGATATTTCAGGAAAACGCTGTGTAGGAATGTCAACCTTGTATATACGAGTGAGTACGAGAAAAATTGTGTTTAGGACATTACCCATTCTTGTGTTGGCATCATAATGGGAAAACGTTTTGATAACGATTTAATTCGAAATTCAACTTCCGGAGTCACGTGACTTCCACTACATGTCAAAAGTTACATTGTTTTCAACTTAATCGCTGAAAATAGGCTTATTCGTTCGAATTTCAGAATAGTTCATGAAGAAAAGTTGTTTCTATTCCAATTTTACACAGGTTCTATTTGAACGTTCTGTTCCACACTGTAGTTCTTGATATTTTTTGATTTCTTCTAATTGTAACTTCGACAAAACTGTCCTAAACTTGGGTTAGAAACGTAAAGTAGTTCGATGATATTTTGATAGATGACTTTGGTATCATTTTAGCACTGAAGAAAAAACATAACAGAAATTTGAAGCGGGAATTATATTTCTTGAAGAAAATCATATTTTGGTCGAAAATCATTGATTTAAAGTAAGTAGCATGATAAAGCTATTAGAATGAAGTTGTTTTTTCGGAAACGTTTTTCTTTTGATATATAGAATGATAGAAATTAAAAAAGTATCAAATACTAAAAGTTGTTATAGAACGTTCAAATTCGTGACAGATTATGTAAAGTTGAAATAGAATAGTACATTATACATCAAGGGTCAGAAATGCAAAATGTTTTCCAAGTAGCGATTTGTATAGGTAGCTCAAGAGCGAAGCCCGAGAAATACAAAGCACCGAGGAAAAAAAAAGGATTCTGTCCTGAGGTGTATACCTACTATTTTTTACGCTGGCGAAAACACAAAAATTAAGAAAGTGTTTTGTCATAAGTAGTAGTAGTATAGTTTGTGGAATTCCTATCAAACTGAAATTTATGTAAACTGTTTTAAAAATGGTTATGGAACAAGAGATCGAGGGAGAACCCCAAGAAAATGTTGATACTGCTTCTGCAGTAAGTCTTGACTTGCTACCAGTAAAATCCAGAAATCTGCATGATGTAGCTTATACTCGGTTCTGAGAATGGTGTTCCAAAAAAAGCGCAGAGCTATGCGGAAGATGTAAAATTGGTATAAACTCCCCAAAGAGAAAATATGTCAAATTATCTCCCAAGGGTATAATACGCTACTTCTGCTCCTCTTTTGTTACTAGAGAAACTATTTCCTACTCCCGCCGGCTTAAACACAACTTTTCTCAGTGAAATTTTCTGAAATTCAGAGAAATAAGCCTACTCTCAGCAATTATTTTGAATAAAATGATACTTTTGACATATAGCGAAATTCACGTGACCCTTACCGAGTAGCCAATTTTTCATATTTTCTGAAGGAAAATTCAACGCCCAAGTCGAATACCGAAATAAACTATGATTAATGACACTTGTTCGATCAAAATAACCAGTTGATTTTCTCTACTTACAGTATAAGAAATAAAGATAAATATTATTTTTTGGTGAATTCAAGAAGTTATCTTAGGATAAATTGTTTTTCCGGAACATAATTCTCAACTTCTTGAAAATACTATTTTGTGTTCTAATTCAACCCCCAAATATTCTTATAAATATAACAAATAATGTTTTTCAGATGAGGTGGAAAAATACGGTGTTACAGGGTATAGATACGAAGTTCCAGCTGATTTTTTCAATAGGACTTTTCCAGAAGAAGATGACTGTTACAAAAGCACTCCCACTTTGCCTGATGGTTTATCAGATCTATCGCCTTGCTACTATGGTGAGTACTCGTAAATGGTTGAATCAATTGGTTTTTGTGATAATTCACCCATACGATAATATCAATAAAATAGAATAGAATAGAATTTTATGTGAGCAAGTTACAATTATGTTTTCGGCAAGTCACTCAAGTACAAAATGTTATTCAAAAACGATTAAATATAAAATTTACTTTTATACATACATACATACAAATTTTTCACAAATCGAAAATATGAATTTTGCAAATTTCCAGTTATCCAATTTGAACATGACATTCATATTATTCCAGATTTTTTAAGAATCTCTCTCCTACTCTCTATAAAATAAATATAAGAATATTATTTCAATATACGTGAAGTAAGGACAAATCAGATGATTTGCCCCAAAATGTCACTGTGTTTAAAGAATTTTCCCATCAGAGAGCATAAAAGAAAAAATCACTAGCTTGTCAGTGACAATTTGTATCGAAAAAGGTTTGGAGAAGAGAAATCAAGGTATATAGAAAATAAATAAAATTTTCACTTATCTTTGGACGTTACGGGAACGAATCTGCTTCCGTTTTCAACATAAAAAATGGATATTCGTATAGCAAATTCGCATTCGGCTTGACACTTCTCAGTTTCTCTTCTTATAATATTGTAATAATTATTGAGAACACTAGATAGGTTATGGTATATTTTTTCAGATACTGCGATTGCAACAAGTTTCCCCCATTTTTTACATGGATCAGAAGAAATAAAGAAATACGTTGATGGCTTGGAACCTGATCCACAAAAACATAGATCCTATATTGATTTAGAACCAGTGAGTTTACGAAAATATCAAAAATGCTTTTTTGTTCAGCAAGTTTCAGCAGAAATTGATTAATCTTCGGCATATATTTTAGGAAACCGGAATACCTATGTATGGTGGTGCAAGAGCCCAGCTCAATCTGGTAGTCAAAGACATGAAAGGTTTCAATGACAAAATCAGAAAGTTCAGCAACATAGCCATACCATTGCTCTGGCTCGAATATGTAAGATTTACAAATTGATACGAACCTACCTAATAATATTTATGAGTCCTTAGGGAGTGTAATCTCTGTCTGCTACTCTGTATTTTCCAATTCTTCTGAAACCTTCTTCGATCCTTGACCAGTAGATGTTGAAAATATGGCTAGAACATCATGTAACCTACTGACTTCTCAAATAACTTACACTCCCCATCTAACTCTTTCTTTCTATCGCCAGTTATACCTCAGGAAGTCGAGGAAACTATATTATCTTTCAAAAATTCTTACTGTCAAGATATTTTTGAGTTGAACACTTATATACTCAAAGAGGTAGCAGATTTGATAGCCGATTCACTTTCAAGAAAGATTGATGAATGTTTTGAGCTAGGAGTATTCCCAGATGCATTCAAAACTTCCATTGTTCTGCCCTTATTTAGAAATGATACCCATCATGCGTTGAAAACTTCAGACAAATCGCGATTATACCTGTTCTTGGTAAAGTAATTGAAATCATCGTGAAAAATAGATTGTCTTCCTATTTGGAGTCGAATTCGTTGATGTGTGATGGTCAATTCGGTTTCAGAAAACATAATTTCACAATCAAAGTCATTATGCGTGTAATCAGGGACATAGTTGAGGGCCTTGAGGAAGGCAAACACTCAGTAATCATCTTGTGTGACTTGACTAAGGCTTTCGACTGTGTTTCTCATGATATTCTGTTAAAAAATCTTTTATGGTATCAGAGGAACGTCCCTCAATTTTTTCAAATCTTATCTGGATGAGAGATCTCAATGTGTTATGGTGAATGGAAGTCAATCATCTTTCGCTAGTCTCGCTAATATTGCACATGGTGTTCCCCAGGGATCAGTCCTGGGACCCTTGTTGTTCATTGTGTATATACATGATCTATTTTATCATATGCTTTCAATCAACAGTGTACTCTTCGCAGATGACACCACTTTGATGAATTCTGAAATTAATTTGCGAACTTTGTATGAATCTGTGGAACGTTCTCGGGAGAAACCCAAGTACTGGTTCATTGCAAATAAACTTAAACTGAACACCGATAAAAATCAATGATGAAGTTTAACATTTGAATGCTCGTGATTTCGAAATCAAAATGATACGATTCCTGTTGAATCACTGATTCTATTCAGTGGATGAATTTCTCAGTTCAAATTTTTGTCTAGCGTTCATTGATGGAGAAGACGCTATTTCAACAAAATTTCAATTTGTCAGTATTGTATAATGTATTTTTATATCCTATTTTAACAGGTGATTACTAGTTTTTACTTGAATGTTTGTGTTGTTTTTCATATATTCATATATTGATATTCATAGTTGAATTCAAATAGATAGATAGATAGTTTTATTTAACCACTTTACATGAATTACATGTTTGTAGCAAGTCAAGGTACAATAGATTTTATTATTATAGTAAAAACACTCAAGTATACATGTTAATAAATTACAATTTAAAAAACGGACATTGAAGAAAACAGACATTGAAGAACAAAACAGATTAAAATGACACACATATTGTGTGCTGTAATAGTGACATATACATGTATGTACGTGATTCAAAAGTTTCACATATAATAATAATAATATAATAATATGACATGCTACAAATATACATCATCAGTACGTAAAGTGGTGAATAAACTATCTATCTATCTATCAATTCAATTTAATGAATATGAATATGAATTTGAATATCATGGTTTGTCTTCTTTCTAGGTACAAAAGGGTTTACCATGGTACATCGAGTATTTGATATACTTCCAAGTTGTACTGTTACCTATCATACAAGTAGTATTTTCTGTGGTGATGCTGATCCTGGGCAGCATTCTGATGTTTTTCTACATTAGGAAAATGTCAAAACGGAAGGAAAATCTTGCGAGGAACAAGATGCAAAGATTCGAGACTGAGACTTTCCTAAAACCCCAGTGATGAAAATCATTTCTGGAGATCAATTTCAGCATTTTATCTTTCTTACTAGGACAATGTGAGATAGGTTTTTATTCCTGTGCATCATTATATCTGTGATTTTAGTAAGTTTTACTCGATCTTATATTTGTTTTAGCTCGAATTTCAGTTGATAAACTTATATTCATTATAGTTATGCATAGGGTGTTGAGTATGATTGTGGCCAAAGTCAAAGGGAGCGATTTTTTCAGTGATTTTATATAAAATCGAAAAGTTCATATGACCATGGCACCGAAAATGCATAATTTTCAAACTAAAAAAAAAGGTTTATTGTGAATCTAGCGATGGCTTAAATAGTACCTCACTACTACTCATAACAATGCAATATTTCGACAGAATTGGATCAGAAATTTTTCTGATATTTACGGAAAAGCGAATTTTTTACATCATTTCACCCCTGTATCTTGCAAACGGTGTATTTCGAGAATCATATTCACATGAACTTTTCGACTTGGAATCACTCGAACAATTAACTTTTGAAGTTTGGCCATATACTTAAATAACACCCTGTATAGTAGATAGGACAAATACCTTTCATATTACTGTAAAAATCAGAATAATGAATATGTTAATTTTATATTCACATTTAGTCATTGAATGACCTACCTACCTACCTACCTTCTCATGAGAAAATAAGTGATTCAAGGAAAAGTGCTACTGTAGATTTTCAGTAAAAAGTAAAATAAATAAAATTCTTTATTTGATAACAATATATAACTTCGTACTACACAATCATTACATAACTAAATATCAGTTTTTTTGATCAGAATTTAAAAAAATATATAAAATACAATAGAATGATACGTTTCAATCAGTCTTCAATATTTGAGCCTAATGATTTCCAATCAAATTATATTCCAGATTTTCGGTTCATATTTCGATTATTTCTTGATCCATATCTTCATTATTTCTCAATTATAAGACACATATTTTTGTGTGTGGAAACATTGTAGATTCAAGTTTTCAAAAGAAACTTCTCATTTCTTGAAATTTTGAGAAAATCAGTAAAAGCGATGACTATGAAGATATCAAAACTGTCTTATTCACCCCTCAAAAAAAAATGTTAAGTATATTTAATTTTTGAACAATCAGAAATCTAAATGATACTGATATACATATACCGAGATAATCTTCCATGTACAAATATTCAATATACCTATGGAGACAAAGATGAGAATTTTGTGAAAGCGTGACAACAATGTCAACAGTATTTTTGATCAACAAAAGTTACATTGTTTAAACTGAAACATTTTTTCAGAGTTTCGATTACCTCGGCATAATTGATTGTCATGTTCGTGAAGTAAGTATTCTAAACTAAAATTAATTCCATATATCACACCAAAATTCGTAAAAAAATATAAAGTAGGTGATCAATTTTTTTCCGGAAAAGATTTGCGTCATAGATCTTCGTCAGAAAATTTTCCAATTCGGACCATATTTTTCTTTACCATAATCATATGTAGTCAAAACAGAATAATTTGCTCCAATCTGGAAACATTTTGGACCTCAACTTCAACACCTCAAACAGGGTGTATTTAAATAACACCGAAAAATTTCAAGGGGTGATTCCAAATATTCTAGCAAATAGCATATAAACATGTATCTAACTTGCTCCGTTTCTGAGATACAGGATGTTGAAGTTGGAAGTGTCAATTGTTTTTATTTATAACCTCCCTGTATATAAGCATTCATGGTGACAAAATTCAGTATGGTTTGAGACTGAGGAAGCCCTAAAATTTCAAAATTATTGAGTAATCTCAATGGAACACCTATAGTAAAATTTGGAGTCAAATCGATTTTTTATTGTTTCCTCAAAAAATAAGCTAGATACTTAAATCACACATAAGATGAAAAAGTTGTTATTTCAATTGTTCAATGTAATAAAAATATAAAACTCATAAATGTCCCCCCCCCCCTCTAGCTCACTTATTTTTGAACCGATTTAAAAATTTGAAAAATAATCTAAAATGATTTTTCAGAATTTTTTTTTTCGTTGTATCAGAAAATACAGGGTGCTCGGAACAAACGATCTACAGAGTACTACTTGATTTTTTCAAATGGAACACCCTGTATTTCATTGTATTTATATATTCTTCCTGAAGAGCTGATTCCATCAATACATCACATTTGGGGTCTAGCGGCAACGATTACAGAGATATAGGGTGTTTAAAATCGAGACTTTAGGACTTTTTTTGTGCCGAAACTATTCATTATTGGTCGAAACGGCTTCTATGTCCCTATCCCAACTTTTGGTTTACTGTCTACTGACATTTAATTGGAACATTTACAGGGTGGTTCAAGTTTCAGAATTCTGATCACCCTGTATCTGTTCCAATTATTCAATGTCAGTAGATAGTAAATCAAAAGTTAAGATACGGACATAGAAGCCGTTTTGACCGATAATGAATAGTTTCGTCTCAAAAAAATCCTGAAGTTGAAAAATCTCGATTTTGAACACCCTATATCTCTGTGAGCATTCCCGCTAGACCCCAAGTGTGATACATTGGTCAAATCAGCTCTTCAGGGAGAATCAAAAAATACAATAACAATTAGGGTGTTCCATATAAAAAAATCAAATAGTACCCTGTAGATCGTTTGTTCCGTAAGGTGTTCGATATAAAAAAGGGTGAATCACCCTGTACAATGACATTCACCATAAATATCGATATATTTACCCAATGTGATGCCACTAGAAATATCATTTCGAATCTAATGCACCAGATGAAGGAGCTCCATATCACCATTGACAAAACCACAGCGTTTTAATGAAAATGATGGGAAGACAATCGGGTGATAAAGGAAAAAAAAAACGATTTTCCATGAAATTATTGATACCCTATATCTCGAAAACGAAGCAAGTCAGGATAAATGTTCATATAATAGTTATTTGTTTAACTAGGCAGCTGGATTCCTAGCCTCGTTACACTCGGCTATGAATTCAGCCTCGGCAGTCAATCTACTCTGCTGCCGAGTTGAACATATAATTTTTTCTCTGATTGTTCAAAATGATACATATTATTATCTCTTTATTTTTTTGTAATGTTCAATTAAAATAAAATTTGATACAAATCGCAGTTGTTGGAATGGTTGGTTGCTATGGAAATGTCCATAATAACTATAGTTTGACAATTTATGAAATTTCTGAGTTGTACGAAAAAATATCGAATTATTTAAATTATTATATAATGGACAGTGATAGCGACCTGGAAGTACTTACACCTCCAGAAATGAGGGAGGTAGCAAAAAATATAGAGTTGAATTTGTTGCCGGATGAAATATGAAGGAAATTATAAACGATTTATGGATTATTAATTTTGCTGATACATATCAATCAGCAAAGTACCCACTTCGCTGCCTAGGCAGGAAAAGTAATACTTTGCTGATTGATATGTGTCAGCAAAATTAATATTTGCTGCCAATCGGAGAAAAACTTTATTTTATCACAAGGGATCGCCTCTTGAATTTTTTCGGTGCTATTCTGATACAGATATATAGCTTTTGAAAGGACTCTAGTTGGACGTATAAAAACTAGTATGCGTTCTTGATGTTTTGAGATGATTTCATATAACCCACTTCATTTTCCTAAGAAGCAAAATTGAATCACCCGTTATAGTGGACGGAACTATCTAAGCCAGCTTGATCCAGCAAGATATGAAATAGTAACAATTTATTTAATCCTAGTTCCCTAACTATTTTTCCAGCCAAGGCTGCCCATAACAAACAATAAATAAAAACACGTTTTACAAAAACATCTCTATTATAAAAAATCCGTTCAAATATTGAGCATTATAGTTGTCACGACTGCCGTTTAGGAGAGAAATCTTGTATTTCACTACCTTCTCCTGTTTTTCTAGCCTATGAGACAAACATTTTAATTAGGCATCGTCTCTGGATATTCTTTGTAAACAAAAATTGTTGTCGTTTTTGATTCTCCTGGCTACCAATAAGATACCGATGAAGGAGAATATTGAGGTCAGTAATGAACCGTATGTAGCGACCAATTGAACACACGGCAATGTGATCGATACAAAGTTGATCAAATCGACGAACTCCTTTGGTAGATTTGGTTCGTCCAAGAACTGCAAAAGAAAAAGTTCGTCAAATTCATTTTTCGGCAACCGTCCGGGCTCACTTCCGGATGTTTTTTCTTTGAGAAAGTACCGGGAAGAATCACATCGTTGCTGTCACTATAACTATGAAAATCTTGGTAGATAAGGTTTTGATAAATGCAGATGATAATAACCATAGCAGCGAAATATCGGCAGACAGCTATTTGACATGAAATTAGTTGACATTTGGATCTTTCAAAGTTTGGTTGCAATTATTATTGCAATAAACTATCGAAGGCAGCAGCGATAGGTTGTATTGGTTTGAAAATGTCCATACGAAATTTTCAATGTAGCGGTTAGTTGGTATAGGTATTCTGTTCAAATTTCATTTTTTGATACAAATAAGAACTAATGAAGAAGAAATCGTATTCCACAAAGAGATATAATATGCATTATTCCAGATTTTTTGGGATCTTCACTCCTCGTTTTTATAAAATAAAAATATGAATATTATTTCAATATACGTGTAATAAGGACAAATCAGATGATTTGCCCCAAAATGACACTGCGTTTAGAGAATTTTCCTATCTGAGAGCCTAAAAGAAAGATTCACTAGCTGGTCAGTGACAATTTGTATTGAAAAAGGTTTGAAGAAGAGAAATGAAGGTATATAGAAAAAATATAAAATGTTTCCTTAGCTTTGGACATTGCGGGAACGAATCTGCTACCGTTTTCAACATAAAAAATGGATATTTGAATAGCAAATTCGTATTTGTCTTGATACTTTTCAGTTCTCAGTGAAAAGTATCAAGACAAATACGAATTTGCTGAAAAATGGATATTTGAATAGCAAATTTGCTATTAATAATAAATTGGTGGGATCGTTTTCCTTGGAATCCGAGTTGGAACAAGAAAGAATTTCATAATTTTGTTTGGCGAAACTGTTGGATATGGCAGGGATGGCCAGGGCTGTGCTCATCAAAGGTAACCTAACAGATAGTTTGTGTACCCCTCAAGAAATTGCGTGTTCTGGAATGGTCAATTCAAATATTCATTTTCTATGTTGAAAACGGGAGCAGATTCGTTCCCGGAACATCCAGAGCTAAGTGAAAATTTGATATTTTTTCTATATACCTTTATTTCTCTTCTCCAAACCTTTTTCAATAAAAATTGTCACTGACAAGCTAGTGAATCTTTCTTTTAGGCTCTCAGATAAGTAAACTCTTCAAACGTAGTGACATATTGGTGCTTATCATCTGATTTGTTCTTACTACACGTATATTTAAATAATATTCATATTTTTATTTTATAGAAACGAGGAGATGAAATCCCAAAACATCTGGAATAATGAATAATCACCTCCTCGATCAATCTACAGACAGTAGATATAATATGGAAATGTGTCTCATTGAATTGTTATTCTACATATGGATGTCGAAAAAATTGTGCACGCAACACGTCCAAGAACAATTTTTTTGGACTCGCCTACGGCTCGGCCTAGAATTTTGTCTACTCGTCCAAAAAAATGAGTACCTGAAATCTTGATATTGAGTTTTGGAACACCCTGTATATACGCCTTCCGTATGGAACACCCTATAAAATAAGCTGGTCAACTTACCACCTCGACCCAAGCGATGGGCAGCACGATCTCGTCCTCGAATATGTCCACTTGGGAGACCCCGAAAGCCTTGTTGACCTTGATGTTGAGTTGCATGACATTTCGTCCTGTCATCATGAACCCCATCGAGGGCTGGAGGTTGAGGTAGGATCGAAAATCGACGCTCTCAGGGTCCAGCCCGGTGACGTCCTTCAGCAGTCTAGGGTCCGCGTTGTGGAAGTGGGGGTACGAGAGGTATATAGGTGAACCTGGAAGCAAGATTGGAGAATTTTCATGAATATTTCAATCATCTCAACATTGTGGTCCTTCGAGCCGGATCAATAGTAATGTCCCTAAAGGTAATCCTCAACATTGTGGTCCTTCGAGCCGGAAGAATAGTTTTTCCAGAAAAAAAATGATTGAAAAAGCGGATCCGATACTGTGGACGTTAGTATAGGGAGAGGGGGGATCATAAGTCGGGTAATTACCGATGGAGATTTGTACGGCCAGGACCATTATACATCTTTTTAAGATTCATGAAATGTTCGAATTATATTATCTCCGTTGTTATGCAAAATATTATTGAGAACACCCAATTAGGATCATATACAGGGTGAGTAAGTTTTCCGTAGCAGGACTTTCAGTAGCTCAAAAAAGATAAAAATCTTATTTAAACATATATTCGAAGGAACCCCTATCACCGATATACAAGGCGGTGTGATATTTCGATATGTATTCGTGTTGTGTGAGCCAAATACAGCTTGTAGTATCTCGAAAACACTATAGCTGACTTTCAATCATTCCCTTGAATAAAGGTAGTCCTCAACATTGTGGCCCTTCGAGCCATATTGATTGTTATTATTCTAAAGTTGAATCTCAACATTCTGATCCCTCGAGTCATTAGAGATGATTCTCAACATTGTTGTAATTCAATCCAATTTGATAGTAATTCTCCTGAAGATAATCCTCAACAATCTGGTCCTTCGAGCCGAATTAATAGTTATTCTTCTGAAGGTCATCCTCGACATTATGGTTGATTGAGTCGAATCAGAATTTATTCTTCTAATGGTAATCCTCAACATTGTGGTCTTTCGAGCCGGATTAATAATCGTTTCCCTAAAGGTGATCCTTAATGGTTGTTCTCAACGATGTAACCGTAGATAGCAATGAAAAGTCTGTCAGTTCAACATGAGATGATTATAGCTGTATAACTAACATTCCTGATGTTGGATAATCATTCAAAGAAAATATTTCCGTGTACAAACGAAATGCTGCTGCTGCTGCACTTTGGAGACCCTAACCATGAATCAACAAGTTATATCTCCATATATCCAGTATCTCAAATATATATAGATTACATTTTGCGTATCATTTCAGAAATATTGTTTGAATATCTTTCCAAATGCAGAATGTTGCATCAATATTTTCCAATTCAACATATCTGTCTCTACAATGTTTATGCAATATTACTGGAATGATATAACCAATCTCCAGATGAAAATTCTTGAGGAAATATAGAAACACGTTTCAATAATCGAACGGAAGAATATATTCGTACTTTGGTGTCAGCTTCTTCATGAACATCATCATTTTGAATTCAGGATGGACTTCTTGATGATTCCAATATTCTTCATTTAGCGAAGTCTAAGTTTCAGACCTTATTTATTAAACATTTTTCAAATCTGGTCCTCGGAGAGAACCTATAAATATTTTTAAAAAAACTTCGTCATTTGAAGACATCGTGAGACATTCTTATTTTCATCAGTACAACTCAAATCTGCCCTTTCGACGCAGACTTACCATAGTTGCATCCTGATGTGCTAGATAATCCCTTCAAAGGGCATTTGCCCCCATCTAACACACAGAAGCACTCGTTCTCTGGCTTGGTATCAGGGGTGTCGAATACATCCTCTGGAATGGTGTAGGTATAAGCAGGCACCTTCCCCTCCATAATCTTAGTTTCTCCCATAAACACGATCGGAATCCTTCGGCAAAATTCGGGAAACATGATGTGGAGGGGTTGCTTCTCTCGGATGAGTTTCGGGGGGTACATTGAGCCATCTGTGCCTTCAATACTACAAAAAAAAACAAATGGTTGGCGGTGAGAAGGGATAAGAAAACAGGTGTGCCGCAAGGTTCGAACTCGGGGCCACTCCTATTGAAAGTTTACATGAATAACGTCACGAATAACGAATTTTCTGCCACTCACCTATTACAGGAATCTGCAGCATACAATCCCAATGATTCTTCTCCACCCATTTCCTCCACTAAGGCAAGTCGATTTATATCCTTAATTCCTGTATTCATGGTGATGAATTTGTTCGACTCTCCCACTTTCTGCAATAAATCGAGCATTCAGTAACAACTCGGGTAAGAAAATAGCAACAATTTGAAGTTTCAAAGTTTTGTTTCAGAAATATTGCATAAACATGGTTCAAATAGATTTGAGATATTTTTGTTTAATTGCAAAACATTGATGCCACATTCCGGAAATATTGCAAAAATATCTGAATGTCTACATTCAAAGAAAATTGCTCATATGATATGCAATTCTTATTCAATCCATATTTGGTATATTAGCTACATGGAAATATGGAAATGAAAATGAAGTCTTCAATGTAAAAACAGTGTGCACTCAGTGTTTCATATTCATCTTTCATTCTGTTACAAATTCTCACCTGTATTCATGACAGTGAATGAGTTTTCAGGCTCTCATTCACGCCTCTTTGTTTTCTATATTCAATATTGCTTTAACATTACTCAGAGATTGCATGTGCAATATTGCATGACTCATCCAAGAAGCAAGATGATGACGAATGTTCCAGAGATTGAGAATAAATTTGTCGATAGACCTCTATTGCTGCAACATTTCCGAACATTGGAATTGCAATATACAAATAAGTTTTTTTGCAATATTTCTAGAAGACTGGCAAATGTAACTGCATTTGTAATTGAAATTGTGATGTTGTGGCAATATTATGTTTGAGCAAGTTGGGTATTTGTGGATATACTTACGGGACCCAAAAGTCCTACTCTTTTAGGAATATCGACGTTCTGCCATTTGAAGTAGTTCGCAGAAAGTGAATATAGCCTATCTTCGTATCCCGAAATAAAGGAGTCTATGTCAATGTGCAGGAAAGCTTTCTCTTCTAAGGCCGATAGGAGTCCAGAAAATCCAAGACGAGCAAAGTAGTTCTCTTTTTGGACCATAGAAGAACCGCTCTGAAAATGAAATGAATATTGAAAAGGAATATTCTCAGATATAGTTATGAACATAAAAAATGGATATATTATTATATATGAAGAAATACATTCAGAATTTGTATTCTCTATGTGATGAAAATTTCAATTCATTCTCGGTTTATTTAACAGAAACCAACTACATTCCTGGCTATATGCCACGACAAACATTGATTTACATCTATTGAACATAAACCCATAAACGATAAGAATTTGAAAACAAAATCTTCTGAAGTAGATAATTTGCATTCTCTCTCATATAAACATAATGCACATAATATCATTCTGAATATTCAACAGAAAACAACTACTTTCCTGGCTATTTGCCACGTCGAACATTGTATTATATCTGTTGAACATCAAAAAAGAGAGCATAAAAAATGAAAATCTCTCAAATGTTCGTCGTGGAATATAGACAGGGAAGTAGTTGTTTTCTGTTGAATAGACCGAGAAAGAATTGCTATTTTCAACACATAGAGAATGTATTTCTTCATATATATATATCATTTTTTTATGTTCATAGTTATATCTGAGAATATTCCTTTTCAATTTGTTATATTTCACTTACAATTAACGGAATATTAGGTACAAACGCTCGGTCTTCTTGAGATCCTTGTGACAGATCAGGACGGTAGGTGTATGTCTTTTTCTCTCTATAAGAAACCGTGCCTGCTTCATCATTGAATCTAACATCTATCCTTTCCAAATTTTCTCTGGAAATATAAGGAAAATTGAACTCTCTTCGGCAAAGACAATTCCATTCGTCTACATTGTGACCCATTTTTAATGTAAACACCGTCCTAAAATTTGGAGTTGTAAACCGATATTGATAATTGTTTTTTGTAATGTCAAGTACTGAAAAGTCTACCTTGGGACGAAATTTGAAATGTTTATTCCAATTCTCAGGGCATACTACGATAATTTTCGTCAGTCATTAGCGATTTTTTATTGGAAAAATCACTACGCCACTGGATTCAAAGTGCCTCTCAACAGGTGTTACCAGAATTTCATGGAAAAATATTTATTAATAACAAAATTATGACAACTCAAAAATTTGAAAACTCACACAGCTAAGTCACAAAAAACACCCTATATCAACAGATGAAAACAAAATTGATAGCGTACCTACATAGCGTACATAATGAAAATTACAGAATTGCATTCACACAATTCAACTAATAATGAAGCAAACAATTTGCGAAAATTACGCTATCATTTTTTTTTTTCATCTGATGAAATCATAAAAAAAATATTCTCATGGCTATATCTGTTGATATAGGGTGTTATGAATGTTAGCTGTGTGAGTTTTCGAATTTTTTTACTGTCATAAAACTTTGTTATCAATGAATATCTTTTCATAAAATTTAGGTCACACCTGTTTAGAGGCACTCTGAATCCAGTGGCGTAGTGATTTTGTCAATAAAAAAATCGCTAATAAAAAATCCTGATTTTTCGACTTATCAAAATCGGTTCACAACTTCAAATTTTAGGGGGGTGTTACCATGAAAAATGGGTCACACTGTATATTATCTTAACTTAATTATCAGTATACCTGCAACTTGAATACATGGTCATTTTTGAGAATAATCATCAAACTTCGACAGATAACATCTAATGTAATTCACAGAAAAAATGTTTCTTAATCAAATGAAGTAGCTTTGGTTCGATTTTAAACAGTCCGAAATAATTTTTAGAATGTAGTATTTTGACTTACGAATAAACATATGGTCCAATTTCTTGAACATGAGGCTTTTTATCGTTACCCAATTCATAATCACCTATATTGGTGTAGTTGAATATATGGAAACTGTATAGAGCTTTTGGTGTTGGATTTTCCCATATTCTGAAGGCATCTGAACCATTGGAAATAATCAATTGCTGAAAAGAATCAGAATCATATAAGTGAACTAAACTGCATATATATGATATAGGTATACAGAGAGAGCACAAAAACCGACCAGTTCTGTAACTTCTGAATAGGATTCTGAAAATTGGTTGGTAGGAAGTATACCGAATTGCTCTTCAATTGATGAAAATTCTTATTCAATCTCTTCTAGTTTCACCGGAAACGATCCCAACTTTGGATTTTTGAATGGGACATTCTGTAAGTACTTGCTATCCACCAATTTTTGGAATCCGATCTCGATTGATTCAGAATTTTGCAGCACTGGTCGCTTTTTGTGCACTTCTCTGAATACGATAAGGAAGTGAAATTTGAATTTATTGAAATAATTCAAAAAATTATACTTACAGAAAGAACATAGTTGTCAAACAAGTTTGTGAATAGCATAACAGTTGTCCCAAAACAGCTGAATAAAAATATCATGCACAGACCAGTAACAACTGAAAAGAAAAAAATCATCACAATTCCAATGTTATCAATCAGTTATATAAAATAATAATAATAATAACTGTATTCATATGGGTGTCCCTAGACCAGTGAGACAGTTGAATATCTCCTAAACCAATAGGAATTTTCAAAATATTATAATTTTACACCATATCGCATTATGAGTGCTGACTTCAGGAATGACTATATTTTCTACGAGGGGCGCAAGAAAGGCTCACAAAATCGAACATCAATTTTTTCAAATGAAACACCCTGTATTTCATTGCATTTTCTATTCTCCTTGAAGAGCTGAATTCAACGACCTAGCACACTTGGGGTCTAGCGGGAATGATTTCCGAGATATAGGGTGTGGAAAATCGAGATTTTTCATTTTTGGGAATTTTTTGTGTCAAAACTATTCATTATTGGTCAAAACGGCTTACATGCCCATATCTCAACTTTTGATTTACTATTCACTCGTATTCAATTGAAACAAATGCAGGGGGGTGTAGAATTCTGTCTGAAACTGAGGAGTTAATAGTTACAATTGCGAGTTGGATTGGTTATTTATTTCTAAAACATAATCAATTTGAAATAGAATGTCCTTATTCAAAAGTGATAAAAATGATACTATCATGTTTATTCAATGGTAATATTCGATTTTTTCTATACAGATTTTTAATTTCTAAAAATTCAAGACTCATCTTTTTAAAAAACTCTGTAGAAAATATCAACAGAAATGATCATATAGAAAAAATTGTGAAACTGTAACCTTGTTCACTTTTATATCCTCACATCCTTCCAATTTTTACTAATACTATCTATTTCAAAATCATTAACGACTATCTTGTTATGGTTACGGGGTTTTTTAGTAAACAAACATCCAATTGATCCATTATTCATATCAACTGAAAATATTATGGCTTAGAAATAATAAAAAAATCAGTTGCGAAAATTACAATATCGGCCAATCTACTTCTGGAATAATCGTAGATGTCATAGAGGTCACTTGATGATATTGCAAATAATTATAATGAGTTTAGGTGAAAAGTCATGTTAATCGGTGTTTTTAGTAGGCGCCTTTCTATCTAAGTACACGGGTCACTGAGGTGTTTTCCAATTATAAGTCTGGTGAGAAGATATAAATTATTTCACTTTACGTGGTAAAATCAGAGAAAAATACTTTCATTCTATTAATTTCCTTCAGAAATCAACCAAGTTGCACCGATGCATTGATCATTCTTTGGATGATATCTTCTCAGACAGAGGGTGGACCGATTGCATGTCCTCCTAGATCTCCGGACTTACCACCTCTTGCTTTCTTCCACCGACGAAATTCAAACTGAAGAACGTTGAGTATAAAACCTTGTGAAAGCCTTCGAAATGAAGTCAGGAGATTAAATTACGTATATAACCATTCCCACCAAGACCACTATATCGATGCTCGGTATTTCCATGAGCAATACTCTTCCATGGGAAAATCATGTCCGATCCATCGCGAAAGCTGTTTCACAAAAACTCAGATTTTTATTGCGTTCGAGAATCTACTTTATACATCAACAGATTCTTAATATGAACAAAGCACAGATACGGCATGTTCTAGAATACTGTTCCCACATAACGGGTTCAGCACCCAAATATACGTTGAAACACTTAGATTCCATCCAGAGAAGCCATCCGTCTGGTGAGTGATGCCACACTCAATAATACTTTGACATCTTGAGAACGCCGTAGAACATGGAATGTTCCTCAGAAATCTCATTCCATCACTAGCAACACCACTCAGACGATCTCGACAGGCGCAGTCAGCACATCTCTTCGTTGTCAACCTTGAAATATTCCGAACAACACTATACCAAAACTCGTTTCGTCTTTACAACGGCAAAGCTTTGGAATTCCTTGCCAATGGAAGTATTTCTGAGAAGGAATCACCCCTTGAATTTTTTCGGTGTCATTTAGATACACTGTATACGTTATGATGCCAAAACTATTCCTTTGTTTTGAAAATGTTCTTGGCTAATATCATGGGGATTGTGTTATCTTCCTCAGCATCCTGTAGAAATCATTGATCTAGTGACATCTTTCAGTCAAAGTCAGAGATATTACATGAAAACCAATCAATCTTATTATTATTTACTTCATTATTTTTCCTTCCTCGTAATCAAAATCGAATAAACAACTAATAGGAAACCTGTAACACTGAAAAATGATAAACTGACTTTAATGAATTGGAATCGGAAGATAGATAGATGCCTTCGATTAGCTTCGATTGAGTTTTATCAACTTGTGACATTATAGATAACCTATTTGGTATATTTAGTCTAGACAAGTTTCCTTCTTTGAAATTCGGAGGTTCCAAACGACGATTGATGTCAAAGATTTGTTTATGTAGATCACAAGATAAACTATATGTAATTATAATTGTAATTAAAACGGTGATACTAATTAGTTTTGAATTAAAATAGAGATTAATTTCATGGATCAGCGATATTATTGGGAAAACCAGCAAGGTTTTTACTTATTGAGATTTTGTAGGCGTGGAAAAGTAAATGATACTTTATTGCAAATTGAATCCTAGAAGTAATTTGAAAACATTGGGGTATTTACTTGTAAAATGTAGATATGGGCTCTGTTTTCAAACAGCGCTGGACAGAATATTGCAAAATAACTCTGTTCATTTTTCGAATAGCTTGGCAAGCAAACGATGGTGGCATTGAAGAGGTTTTCGAATTTTAATTTTTATGTTCTGGTTCCCACGAAAAAGGATATCCTGTAATATTCAGAGAACATCGTGGGAACCAATAAGGTAGGAATTGGTGTTCTTCTTAAATTTCTGGAGGTTATATGCCTCGGGAAACACCTCCCTTGGCAATGTGTTCCAGAGCCTCGCTGTTCGTTGGATGAACGAGTCTTTGGAAAGAGATGTTCTGCAGGACTCCAAAGTGACCACGAAGGGGTGCGAAGCCTCAACTCAACGGGTTAATCTCGCGGGGAATGCCAAGGGAGGAACAATTGTTTATATTTCAGAAGAGCATCGTCCATGAAAATATCTATAAAATAGAGCCAGATCGCCAACTCTTCTACGGTGTTCCAGAGAAGTGAGTGAGTTTGTGAGCGAGGCATCATCCACGAGACGAATTGCCCTTTTTTGAACAGAATCTAACAGTTCCAGAGTATGTTTGGGTGCTGCACTCCAAGTATGGGAACAGTATTCCAGGACAGGTCGGATCTGTGCCTTATAGATCATAAGCAGCTGACTGGAAGTGAAATAGCTCCTGGCCCGAAACAGAAAACCAAGTTTTTGTGATGCACTCTTAGCAATTGATCTCACGTGATTTTCCCAAGAAAGGTTATTGCTGGTAGTAATACCAAACATCGAAATGGATGTCTTCAAAGGTATGGTTACTCCTAACAAGCTTATGTTGGGCACAGTGAGATCGGCTTTTCTAGAGACAAGGCATGCTTATGTTTTGTTTACATTGAAATCTACCAAGTTATTGGATCCCCATTCGAGAATTGTTGTTTCTGATTTGCCTGGCTGCTGGCTGGTATTGAAGCCCTGGAGGAGAGGGCGGTATGGAGGTTACTAGCATCCGCGAAGCTGTGTACTGGACATGAAGTTGCTTCCAACAAATCGTTGATATGGAGTAGAAATAGTGTTGGTGCTAGATATGATCCTTGCGGAACACCAGCATTTATGATAAGAGAGTCAGATGAAACTCCGTCGACCACTATATGGAGACAGTTGTTTGAGAGAAAACTAGCAAGCAGAGAACATAGCTGGGGAGGCAAAAGCCATAAGATGGAAGCTTGGCGAGGAGTCCGTGGTGCCAGACTCGATCGAATGCCTTGGAGATATCAAGTGCCACTGCTAAGGTTTCATTACATTTTTCTAATAGTTTGCTGCCATATATGTGAGACGTAAGCGAGCAGGTCACCAGTTGATCTCTGATGACGAAAGCCATATTGCCTAATCGTTGATAATACCTGAATGTTCCAGGTAATTCATGAGCTCGAAATGAATGAACGAAGCAATATTTCTTCGTACATCTCCAGGAAGTCAAAGTGAGATATACCATATATGTTTTCTGTACCTGATGTATTCTTCATGAAGCAAAATAGCACCACCTTTTTGTGACCGAGCAGCGTGACAATTCGTTTTGACGTTTTGGCCACTATTTAGGTTCATTGGGTGTTCAAGAGGAACGCTATCATCACTTCACTTGATATTTTCATGCGCCATGACCATAGGGTCATATTCTACAGGTAATCCATTTAGGAGGATAACAACAACGAATTCATCTTCTAGAGATGCATTTATCATTCAGTTTTTGAATTAGAGACATGAACTCAGAAACGTACTCTTCCATACTTGAAAAATTGGAGAGTTTTATTGAGCACATTTTCCTGAGTAAACAACCGTCTTAATAGCCCTTTTATCTTCGAAAGTTTTAGCCAAGTTATCCTATGCTACTTTGGCTGACGAGGCATTCCTTACATACGAATAAGCTGACGGCTGTATCATAAGACAAATTTTTGCCTACTTCCGTTGACACATATTCCCACAAATCTTCATGAATAAGATACATTTGCACCGCAAATTTCCGAATTTCCAGTTGTTGTAATTTGCCATGCCTTCAAGTTTCTCAATTGGCAAGAGAGAACCCATGTGATGAACCCATATTCGCATGTAAATTGAGTAGCAAAACTTGAATAGTAAATTATTCCTCTAACTTAGGAAAAACTATAGTTGAACTAACAGATATGTAGCTTTAAAGCCACTAGAAACGTGCTGGGCCCATAACCTTTTGGATTTTCAAGTTTTATTCTTATTCAAAAATCTAGAGATGATTGACAATAACAGTTGAATATTTTATTATCAATAAAATTATTGACATACCACGACTATGATAACATATATAACATAATACATAGTGATTCATAATATAATTTGATTAGGCATTCAACATTATTACTGCGAAAATGCGAAAATGTTCACAAATTGTATTTCATTTTTCCCTTGTATATTATTAACGCCTGATGCGAAGGACAATAATTATTTTTTTCAATTTTCATGGAATAAATAATTCGTAAACCTCATTATACAAAGGTGATGATTTAAAATTGTCATCTCTTCAAATGAAAAAACTACAGGCCTTTAAATGTCCCCTGTGTCACCCAGTATACTTGACGAATAATATAGCATTAATTTACTGTGAATATCACTTACTTGCAGGTATATAGCACTGATGATGGCTTAGTAGCCGAAAGAAGCATTGCGATTTGACAAAAATATTTACAAAGAAATACATCTTTCTTCACTTCTTCGATTTATAATGATTTATAATTGATTCAGACTGGATGTCTATAAATCATCATATAAAATATGATATATTGTTAATTGTTTTTCGGGTATGATGATGCTACTACTTACGCATTTGCGATTTCTGAATAATTGTGATAATGACAAGTATCTTTCAAAACAATTTTTGATTAGAAAAACAAAATCTTGCGAAACATAATGAACTATACTCAAATAATAAGTATTGATCGACGGTGAAGCTATTATAATAAGCTAAGTAATCTGTAAGGCAATTGAGAAAAGGGCCAACAAGAATACAAAATTGACACGTTTAAAACATTTTGGGTCGTTTCAAATGACATAAATTACGGACAATGAATTTCGTCATGTTAAGTAATAGCGATAAAGTACATGCCAATCAAAAATATCATCTTTGGCGTAAAACAACAAGAACATTATTACAAAATAAACTTTTTTTCGGAAATTTATTTTTAGTTAGGCGAGGCAGACGAATATGTGATAAACTCTTGACATTAGAATCACGCCACTTCGTTTGTTTCCTTTCCATTCATATGGGCTGATATTATTCTTTCTATTTATATAATATGATTTTTCATCATCTCATGACACTCATGTGATTATTTTGACACACCTATATTTTGAAATTATTGATATGTTGATCCTGTATATAGATGTTATATGATTGTATGTGGTTTAATTTTCTACTTTCTATATAGGGTGTATCTAAATAACACCGAAAAAATTCAAGGGATTTTTCCTAGTAAATGAAGTTCATGTAACTTGCTCCGTTTTTGAGATACAGGATGTTGAAGTTGGAAGTATCAATTGTTTTTATTTATAACCCCCCTGTATAAGCTTCCCTAGTGCCAAAATTCATTATGGATGGAGACAGAGAAAGCCCCAAAATATCAGAATGATTCTAGTTGGGAATATTGATAGTAATTTCAATGAGGTCTTGGAAACACATTCATTGAAATTTGGAGTCAAATCGAATTTTTATTGTTTCCTCAAAAACTAAGCTATACACAAAAATCACACGAAGAATAAAAAAAGTTGTTATTTCAACAGTTCAATCCAATAAAGATATGAAACTCAGAAAAACCGCTGGTGTAGGTACAATGAATATCGATAAATTTACCCACCGTGATGCCACTGGAAATATTATTTCGATTATAATTGCAGTCGAAGAAGTTCCATATTACTCATAACAAAACCACAACGTTTTATTGAGATTAATGGAAAGACAATTGGGAAATAAATGGAAAAAAGTTTTTTCATGGAAATATATTAAAACCCTGTATCGAAAACGAAGAATGTTTAAATGAACTTTATTTCCTAAAATATCACAAGGGACCACCTATTGCAACTTCTAGTTCTTGATATTTTCTGATATTTCTTTCAATTGTAACTTCGACGAAGCCGTCCTAAACTTTGGTTAGATACCTGGAGAAAGCTGGATGATATTTTGATAGATGACTTTGGCATCATTTTAGTACGGAAAACATCAAACATAACAGAAATTTGAAGCGGAAATTATTATTTTGTGTGGTTCGTCGGTGTCAATTATTTTTATTATTACAGACATTTCGTAGAAATTGAAAAATATCAAAAACTAAAAGTTGTTATAGAATGTTCAAATTGAAGAAAAATATTTAAAATTGGAATAGAAACAACTTTTCATTGTGAAATATTTCGAAATTTGAAGAAATAAGCCTATTTTCAGCGATCAATTTGAAAAAATTTAAATTTCAACATGCAGAAATAGCTGAAATCACGTGACTCCAACCGAGTTGTCCATTTTCCATATTCTTCAAAGCAAAACTGCATGCCCAAGTCGAATTTTGAAATAAATAGTTATCAAAAACTTTTCCCATATTATGATGCCGACTTTATGAATAACACTGTATATCTGAAACTTTATATTCGAGATTCTAGGATAGGTAAACATTTAGATATTCTCGTAGTATTCCTCGAATGTTGCATCAATGTTTTGCATTGAAAAAATATGTCAAATCTGTCTACCATGTCTCTCCAATATTTCTGAACCATAAGCATAAGTTATTCGAAAATACAACCTCACATTGGAAATCTACAAATACTCAACATTGAAATACAATTCGAAAAAAAGAATCTGAAATTATTCCTTAGGTAGGTAAATTCGATTATTTGACTGATACATTCAAGTTCGAATATTACTTTTCTCATTTCTAACGTGTCGAATTATAATTGAATAATTATGTAATTAAATGATTTGAAATATATTTTTTTTTCTATTTGAACCTGTTTTTTTATCAATCTGAATGTGGTTATTCTGAATTCGAATCAGTTCAATCTAGTATTGAATTATGTACCTACTTATTTTCAATTTGAGATCGACTGAAATATCCTGAATTTGAAAACACATTACAACAAAAAAGTGAACTCACGAAATAATTTTCCTGTTTTCATCTCGTACCCGAAAAGCTGTGTTCTCTTCGGCATCATTTCTGCGTGCACTTTCCCCAAAATTTCCTTCGTAAAAGCAGGCCCTTTTTCGAAAATCTGATTGCAATTCGCTTGAAAATACGACGAGCAGTTGACGTCCACCTTATCGGCGTCACTGCCACGACGCAACGTTTCGAGATCGGGGTACATCATCAGACGCAAAACTTATAGAAACTCGTGAAGACTCGTGGATACCGATAGATTCTCGTGGGAACACGTGTAGCGCGGCGCTGGATAAGATATTCGACACGGCGACACTTGCCTTGCAGTTTTGTGAATGAAGATATCTTCTACAGGCGGCTTATAAAGCGATTCTGTTCTTATCAGCGCCGTAAAATACAAACAAGTGTTATCTCATTCGCTGTGTGCGATGGTGTTTTTTCTTATAACGATAGACGTGTTATGATTTTTCCGTCTGGGCCAACGCAAGACGTGATTTTTGCACTGCAGGCGCTTATCAGTCTGCAGGATTCTAAATAGGGTGATACTGAGTATGTTTTTACGTCTATTAAATGGTTATGTATTGTGAACTGCGTAAGAAATGAATTTTTATTAGTTATTTGAATAATAATAGATCCATGTGGTTTCCACACTGTAGTTTACTTTTTCGTGAAAAGTTGTTAGAAGAATAGAAGCCCAGGTGACCAAATCATGCAGCAATATTCATGGAATTTCAGTTGTTGAAATTGAAAAATCAGTGAAAATACCACTAAACACAGTGAAACAAAAGGAGTGAAAATGTGAACTTTATTCCAATCCATAGACAATTTAGTCAACAAACCTCAAAGCATTTGTAAAATATAAATATATGTTTTTCTTCCATACTCCTTCATTTATTTCAGTCTGTGGGCTATTACCTGCAGATAATATCTCTTCAAAGTGATGCATATAAAAGTGAGGATTAATTTTCATGGGAGATCGTTGTTTCGTTTTTACTGGTCCCTCTAAACAATTTTCCATGGAAATCTTCAATCCAGCTAACTACAACTAGAACAAATAATATTTAAGTACAATAAAGTATACAAAATAAGTATTCAGCTGTCATTATTGTGAATACCCTCATTTGGCCTAACCAGAGCTGGTGTTTGCCAGAAGAGAATCCAAAACTGTTCTCATCAGAATGCTAATCAATTCTAGCTTGAGGTATGCTTTCTCAATTAAAATTGGTGATTTTCCTCTTCAATTATATCTGCAATATGAATTACCTCACCTCAAATTCTTCTATAGGTTCCTTCGATTTCAGGAACAGGATATAAAGTAAGATGATTACGTTTATTGCACTTTTGCTGAAATCTTCACTCACATCAGCAGAGGGTTTCGGTCCCGATGAATAAAAGAGGCTGATGGTGATTTTGGTTAGGATAGCGGATTATTTTCGTTCTGCTGAAATTTGATAAACACCACGACCAGAAAAAGCGAGGTTAGGAAATCACAGCAAAGAAAAAGCTGAGAACTTGTTATGACATTGTTCGTGGGTGGTTCGTGATTGTTAATCCACAACTTTGGATTTCAACTACCTCAAACTCTTACAATAACAGATCATAATTTATTAAAAATATCTATAATACAATCACGAGATATATTCTAGATGCAATTTGCATCAGTGCAGTTTCATAACGTTATTGTGATATACCACAAAGTTCTTTAAATGATCTAGATTGTGATGACGCCGAGGATGCCTCAATTTTATCACGTTGATTGAACGTATGATGAAACGAAGTTTTTTAACTGGTTTTTGATGCCTCAATTTTATCACGTTGATAGAACGTGTGATGAAACAAAGTTCTTTAATTGATCAATTTTGTGATGACGCCTGGGGTGCCTCAATTTTATCACGTTGATAGAACGTGTGATGAAACAAAGTTCTTTAATTGATCAATTTTGTGAGGACGCCTGATGGGATGTCTCAATTTTATCACGTTGATAGAACGTGTGATGAAACAAAGTTCTTCAATTGATCCCTTTGTGATGCCGCTTGGGATCTCTCCAATTTATCACATTGATAGAACATGTGATGAAACAAAGTTTTTTAATTGATCTCCTTGGTGATTACGCCTGAGATGCCTAAATTTTGTCACGTTGATAGAACGTATGATGAAACAAAGTTCTTTAATCGATCTCCTTGGTGATGACGCCTGATGTGATGCCTCAATTTTATCACGTTGATAAAACGTGTGATGAAACAAAGTTCTTTAATTGATCAATTTTGTGATGACGCCTGGTATGTCTCAATATTAAATTGATCCCTTTGTGATGCCGCTTGGGATGTCTCAAATTTATCACATTGATAGAACATGTGATGAAACAAAGTTTTTTAATTGATCTCCTTGGTGATTACGCCTGAGATGCCTAAATTTTGTCACGTTGATAGAACGTATGATGAAACAAAGTTCTTTAATCGATCTCCTTGGTGATGACGCCTGATGTGATGCCTCAATTTTATCACGTTGATAGAACGTGTGATGAAACAAAGTTCTTTAATTGATCAATTTTGTGATGACGCCTGGGATGTCTCAATTTTATCACGTTGATAGAACGTGTGATGAAACAAAGTTCTTTAATTGATCCCTTTGTGATGCCGCTTGGGATGTCTCCAATTTATCACATTGATAGAACATGTGATGAAACAAAGTTCTTTAATTGATCTCCTTGGTGATTACGCCTGAGATGCCTAAATTTTGTCACGTTGATAGAACGTATGATGAAACAAAGTTCTTTAATCGATCTCCTTGGTGATGACGCCTGATTTGATGCCTCAATTTTATCACGTTGATCAAACGTGTGATGAAACAAAGTTCTTTAATTGATCAATTTTGTGATGACGCCTGGGATGTCTTAATATTAAATTGATCCCTTTGTGATGCCGCTTGGGATGTCTCCAATTTATCACATTGATAGAACATGAGATGAAACACTGATTTGTAGCAGTAACATGTTATATTTTAGATGCAAGTTGCATTTGTTTCAGAACGATGTGATGAAACAAAGTTCTTTGACTTATCTCTCTTGTGATAGAGCTGAGACATGTGTGGTTGACTGGGAGCAGGTAGCCATGTTGAATAGTAAAATCATAAATATAGAACAAAAATATTATCGATGAGTTTGAATACGGAATACACAATGATGTTTCATTCCAAAAAAATAAATATAGCTATTTTGGGTTCATTTCCTAAGATTGAATGGTTAGAATTTCGAATAATGCCCTGGTTTCCTCTGTATCTCTTGAACATGATGGATGGTTTGGAAGTTTTGTTTGTTCCGTATATAATTTGCAGAAGGCGCCAATGCATTTTTATTTAATTTATGCTTGTGTAAGGTTATCAATATTATTATGCAATGATGATTCGAATTGCCAGTAAGTATTAAAATAACCTTAGCCAATTTTCATTTTTTTGGATCTCAAAAGAGACATTCACGCCTAATGAAAAAAAAACTAATAAAAACCAACATTTCCAGCTGTCTGTTTTTCACTTTATTTGTTGATTATGTTTGTTCAGTTTGATAACTTATATTTCCAAATACATTTGACCCGGAACTCTTTGAAAATCGCGAATTAGATTTTTTTCTCATAATTCAAAGAAGGTTTAGTCTCATTGGCGTCACAGAAATGGAAAAATACGAATGGAGCGTATAGTTCATTCATTTCTACAAAATATAATTGAGCTCACTTTACCTAATCATAGAAAAATCATATCATTAAAATGAAATAACGTTTAAATAAACATAAACAATTAATAGGTCATTCGCTACGCCAAATAGATCAGCGTAAGTAACAAAAACAAAAAAAACTCTCCTTCAAAACGTCATGGCTCTTGTTTCGAAAATTACTTGTTTATTAGCGAAATCATGCATATAGACTAACAAAGTAACAAATTTGAATTGATAGATACAACAAAAACTTGTCAGGTATAGGTACGTTCATTCTGTGGACATAGCATAGCATACTTGAGCGATTATTTGACTAATCATCCAACCAAAGTGGAGTTATGATCGCAAATTGAAGGGAATTATGCTTAGAAAGGGATTTCATAAGTTATTGTAAAAGGTTATTGCCTTGCCGGCATAAAATCTAATATTCCCGCCCAGCAGCCACCAGTTGCACGTAATCTACAGTACTGGCGTTAGTAAGTCATTCGGTGAATGCTGAAGTTGTTATGTCTGTCAGTCTAATTCTGTGGTTAGATTTTGAAAAGATCCGGCAAATATTGCCTCCAAGTTCAATGATTATTTCGTCATTGGTTAAACTGATACCTCCAAGTAATAATTGAAAAGGATTTCAATCCTTACACAATGTTTTTGAACCCATTTACGGAACATGAATTACTGTCATTGTTAAAAAACAAACTGAAGAATGAAAAACCGTCTGGTACAGATGACATACCGATGTTTATATTGAAAAGAGTTCTAGTAGTTCTACCTTTGATAATATTACCATTAACACATCTGGTAAATATACGTCATTTGTGAGAGGTGATTTTCCACACAGGTTAAAAACTGGTGAAGTCACTCCTATTTTCAAAAAGAAAGACACAACCCTTGAGGAAAAAGATCGTCCTGTACCAGTAGGTACCTTGTGGACTCTGGAAAGTTTTCGAATATGCCTTTTCGGAACGTCTTAGTTCGTTTCTTAATAAACATTCTCTCTTGAGTAATAGACAATATGGATTTCGTTTTGTGTTCTATGTTCTCATTTCTGAATAAAACCATAGAATATGTTGATTCAGATGAATGTCCAGCGGTAACTCTTTGTGATCTTAGTCGAGCTCTCGACTGTGTCAACCATCAAAAACTGAGGTCAAAATTAGAAATGTTGTTGGTTCTCGTCATTTCTTCACAATCGAAAGCAATTTGTTTAATTGAAAGTAAAGTACATTGATGACTGGCAAGGGGCAAGGGGTTGGGTGTTTTGGCTGGTTCAAGATTCAGAATTCTGATCACCCTGTATCTGTTCCGATTGAATATCAGTTAATAGTAAATGAAAAGTTGAGATAGGGACATGTGAGCCGGTTTTGGCCGATAATGAATAGTTTCGGCACAAACAGATCCTGAAGTTGAAAAATCTCGATTTTGAACATCCTATATCTCTGTAATCATTCCCGATAGACCCCAAGTCTGATGTATTGATGAAATCAGCTCTCCAGAGAGAATCTAAGAATGCAATGATATAACAAAGTTGTTGCTACTTTTTGATAGAAACGGCAACACTGCATTGCTGAAATTGTTTTAAATTAAGAGAACGCGTATTCTAAAATATAAGCATGCATATCTTCATGTATTTC